AGCGCCGAAATCGCCAAAGCGAATTACCGTTTCCCAGGTGTCAATGCGATGTAAACAACCGTGCCTGATGGAATAGGAGACATGCATAGTTGCGACGTCATAAGAGGTCGGGATAAGATGGGAGCCGCGAAGCTTAGCAGGTGAGTTGCAACCCCTCAGATCCAGGGTGCAAAATGCTCCGCCGGCCCACATCGGTACGCAGCGAAGATCTCCGAACACCACCAATAAAATTCAGTGCAAGGAACAGATTTTTTGTCCGCAACTGCGATCGTCTGTTCTGGAATTGCAGAACACATCGCGACCGGATCTTGCGGATGGTCGCGACCCGAGGCGCCCGGGAACTTCAGCTCGGCCTCTCGTGATGCGCGCGGAGGAGGAAAGCCAGAGTATTCGGCCAACCGCACATCGCGCACCAAGAACTTCCTGGACAGTTCGTTCAAAGCCGGATATGCAGTGACTAACTGAACGGTGAGAGAACTAACTGGGGTTGGCGGCGTGGACAAGTGCGCTTCCCCTCTGATTCATACGGCTTTCGGTGTTTACGGGAGCGCAAGCATCTTTTGTCAGCAGCCGGCTTCTGACTCTGTCTTGAGTCGCTTTGCTTTGAATGCGCATCACAAGAGATGGATGCATTGCTCGGCTTGCATTCAAGCCTCAGTAGGTGCAGATGTCGTCGCTTTAGAGGCTTGTGGAATCCAGAGTGGTTCGAGGTGACCGCTTAGTGTTGCGACCTTGGCGATATGTTCCAATAAGCTCTTGTACCCTGAGGAGTTTCTTCTGAGATAGCAGGATGGGTATGGGATGGTTGAAGATCAAGATGACATGTGCGCGGACGGAAAACATGGTCAGACACTGTCGAACCCGGAATTTGCACGTCGTGCTATACGGGAGTCGCTGTGACAGGCCGGACAAGCGGGGCGAACGAGCTGCAGCAGCGCCAACGGTACATATCCAATAGAGCACCCCAACCATACCATTCCACACATTTGCGAGGTCGGTACGCTCTAGAGTCTGCAACAACTCTTCGCAGATATGGGTTGTGAGTGAGATCTGGCTGCCATGTGGCTCGTTCAGAGCTCCAGTTTGGACACAAAATGGGTAGCGACTTGACATTGCAGCAACAGAGAAAGGCAAGCGGCGTACGATGGAAGTCGTGTAGATCGTGGCAGTGAGACGACACGCCTCATAGACCCAATCGCAGGAGTTTGGGTGATCTGGAGTGTAAGCCGAAGGTAGTTTTGCTAATCGATCGCAAATTCCAGCCACTCTTGTCTTACGATAGACGTCATTGGAGGGCGGACAGGCTACATGAACGTCTGTAGCATCGCTAGCGGGCTTAAGTGCTATGCTTTGCGCCAGGAGTAGGTCGGTCAAGTCGCGCATATCTCGAAGTAGGCCACATGTGGTAGATGAGCAACGCTCTTCGTTGAGAAGGTTCCGGAATTCAGGCCCTGGGCAGAACAACGGGGATTCTGGTATCGCGACATCTGCGTTGTCGTTGACCGATTCATACTTTGCAGGCTCCCACAACGCAAAGGTCGGCAGGGGTTGGGCTTCGTAAAGTAGGTCGCAGTGGAGACAACACCTGGGAGCATTATTAGTCTGCCCTCTTTATCAGGAGGTCATGAAGCTTACGAAGTGGCAAATCGCGCGATTATCGCCCTACCGGTCTTGTCCAGGTCACCGCACAGGTGTATCATCTGTTCGATGCCTCGCTCGTGACACCGCACCGTGGGCTCATCACAGCTCCACATGTCGCTTCCCAGCAAGTGTATCATCACCAGGAGGGTTGACACGGCGTGCTCCCGTGTGAACGACTGAAGCCGAAGCCTGAGCATGACCAGGGTCTCATCCCTGACAAGCCTAGTCCTTATACTTTCGCCTGGAACTTTTGCGAGCATATCGAGCCAAGTACATGTCACGGACCCGATACCACTGAGCAATACATGGGGATGAACCATCATTTCGGGTGCCCATGCCTTGATTAATGCTTCCGTCCCGAACGCCCGCATGACTGTTTATGTCAGCCCTTGAACGAGAGCATACGACGTAAAAGTTCTGGAGAGTTATGTACACCTACATGCACGTAGGATGAAACCACTGTTCAAACTAGGGTTCTCGAATTGGGGCAACACCTTGAAAGGGTCAAACCCGTCTCCGATCTGAGGGAAAGTGGTCGCGAATAGACGAATCTTGCGTTCTTCTTGGCTCTCGGTGTACTCGTATTCAACAACCTTTTGGAAGCTTCTACTCGGCCTTCGGCCTGAGCGAGTCGACAGACGGCGTTCAAACGCAGCATCATGAGCCTCAGCACCGCTCGCTTCCTTTAGGGACCTCGTCGTCGGTACATGAATACGAGTTTGCTGATCATTTTCATAAGGAACAAGCGCTCTCGGTGTTCTTTCTGGGGGATGTAGTTGAGTTTGAGTCGTCGTGAGCCCGACCTGCTCGGCGACTATCGGTTCAGTGTAAAGAGGTTGTACTGTTTCAGGCCGTTCCCAAGGTGTTGCATTGCTGTTGTTTGTTTTGCTCCTATGGTATCTCATCGCCTGCGAACGGACGCTTCGTCTTGTCGCCTCATCCTTGAATTGAGTAGGGTCTGTCGCGGTAAGAAAGCGAAGTTGAAAAGGTCCATCGAGCTTTCCACGGCGACGGGCCGCTCTCGTTGTCGCGCGAAGGGTATTTGGCCAAGCATTGTTTCCAGACTGGTGGTTTGTGACCGCGAGTGAAGCGACATTAAGCTGGGAGGTCGTGATGTCACTCTCGCTGGGCGGGGTTGTGATGGAAGCCATGGACATTGGAGTGGTGTGCTGACCCAGAATGCCAAGAGAAAGCGGGGTCTGGCTCAGCGCAGGGAGCAGCGACGATGCCACGCAGCATAAATCACATACGATGCCTCTATACCTGTGTACCTAGGTACCTGCCTATTTGTCGCCGAAGAAGAATCCGCGCTTTTATGTGAGGCTGGGGCATGGGCTTGTATCAGCCCTGGCTGACCTGTCGGTGAGCCGTCCCATGCAGGACACTACATGCGTTCACGGGTAATACGTCACCTCTTCGCTCCCGAGGTCGCATCGGGACCACGCCGCGATATGATAGAGCAATAGGTGCACAGCCCCACACTGGACAAGACATTGGTGGCCTGACGACACCAGAGGGCCGGTCAATTCAATGGATTAAGAGAGAAGCTTGCAGGATCACCAACATCCTTTTAAGAAGCGCATTGGGACGTCAATAACTTAGCCAAGATCTTCCGCACAGCCTTGCCAAAGTCAATGAGCAACTGCCACAAAATGACCCCATCGCTCTGAACAGTAATTCGATCCTGGTCTGCTACCAATAGAGGCGAATCCGCCGCTCTCGACTCAGCCGGATCCCAACGCCGTGCGACGACACCAGCTGGCCGGATCGTCTCGTTGCTGTCGAACGACTCCACCATCCTGCGTTCATCAACGAACATATAATCGCAAGGCAGAATGGCGCCTAGATCTTCGTCAGGTTCTCAACTTTCTTCCCTCAGGATTTGTTTGACGCACCCTCTCTCCTCAACTTCGCTCGAGCCTTGTGCCACCGCTCCTCATCGATCAAGCTTGGCGCATCGTACAAACTAGGCGACAACGCATTGGGGCTGAACGGCGAAGGTATGAACCGGCGCACGTGGTCCAGAGCTTGCGATGCGGTCTCGCCTTTGTAGAACATCCGTCGCTTAACCTGTGGCGCGACAAAGCGACCATCTGGCAAGTCGTCAAGCAAGCGATACTGCTCTTCGACATTGAAATTGTCGAGATCGTTGATATAATAGTTCGCGACGTAGCCGTGGGTAGTCAAGGCGCTTCGGATCATGGCATGAACGGTGTATGCGTGGAATATGAGAACTCACCCAGAAAGTCGAAGGAAGAGCCGTGGCTCATTAGCATCTTTCGATTGCGTATATTGAAGTAGACGTGTCGACGAAGCATCTCCGTTGGTCCTCTGACGGCGTCAAACGGCACTCTGGCAAACTGCGCGCTGCGACGAACGGAAGACGAAAAATAGAAAGAGATAAGGACATGGTCTATGCGCATCCCTAAGCCTACGCGACTATTACCACCTTATACACGAAAAAAACTAAACAGGTCTGCAGACTACATTAAAACAAACACCTACAAAGTAGGTGACCTAAGGTCAACGTAGGCTCTAGGGTGTTTGGGTTTTTATTAGGTTAACGTGTTACTATAAAGTTATACCCCAGCGCATTATTGTTCACACCTCGAGCGCGCTACCAACCAGCATCGCCCCCATCCCCCCGACTCTCCTCCCACTGCTCACTAACCGCCGACGGGTCTGGATGTGACTGAATCCTCGGCATCCCAACCGATTCTGTCTCAACATAGTACCCCCCTTCCTCCTTAAACTCAAGGAGGTATCTCCCATTAACAGGCCCAAATTGCGTGGATGTCCATATTCTCTTGAACGTTGCACTGGGTCTTTTGAGTGGGAATTCGCCTAGAGGAAGGCATGTCTGGTCGGATACATTCGAAAGCCATTTTTCGATTCGTGGTCGAGTGGCCATTGTTTTGTATGCGACGAGCGTGCGGAAGCTGTTTGCTTGTTCGAGGGGTTGGGTTGAGGTGGTTTGCTGACTATCGGAGGAGGTTGTTGAGGAGCTGGTTTCTGACTGCATCTTGGGAGTTGGGGAGTACAGAGGGGTTGCGCTGCGTGTGTGGTGAGGTGTTCGAATACACCTAGCTGCTACGTAGGGTTTGTAGTAGTGTGTGTGATGATATGTGCGGCCTTTGTATGCTCTTGGAGGTGCTGAACGTATTCGGTTTAAATTTGGTGAAGTCTTTGTATGCTTTTGGAGGTGTTGAACTTGTTCGCTTGAGATTTGGTGAAGTCTTTGTAGTTGTGGGAAGACTTTTGGTGTCTGAGTGTGGAACGGCGAGAGAAGACCATATTTATGAAATTCCTGTCTCTCATTCTTTGGTTACCAAGCGAGCCACCCATACGCAACGAGCCACTCACAACTTTCCTAAAGCTTTAAACGCGAGCCGAATTTCCTTCCTATAAAAATCTTCGGCAATGTAACATCTCTCCCCTCTCAAAATTTCTTTCACTCGCTTAGGTTTTGCGCGTAACTCCACACGCCTTTCTACTGCCTCGTATTTCTCATCTTTCTCTCTGTCTGCGCCAGAGCTATCTGTGACGATGGCTACGATTTTGATCACTGCAGGTCTGTTCGGGAACGTGATCTCCTCCGCCTCAATACCAATTTGAGTGTTTCGTAGGATATCCGCACCAGTATACTCGATCACGCCGGGCGCAGATGTGAAGTAGTTGCCGATGCAGCTGCCGAAGTAGGTTATAGCCTTGTTCAAGAGGGAAGACAGACGACGCGGAGGTGCCGGGAGTGATTCCGCATACGTTGGCGTGGAAGAGCTTTTCGCTGCTTCCTCAGGTGGGTCGGCAAGGCCAGCGAGGGGATTAGGGCTGGGTGACGGTGATGCAGCCCAGGGTGCGCGTTCGTGCCAAATGCCTTCATCGATATCTGTGCCCGCATCTCCACTAGTCTCGAGCGTTTCCGTGTTGTTTGATGATGCGCGGTCGTTATCTTTAGCCTCCATGGCGTCAAGTGGTGATGCAGTCACGGCATTGGAATACGGCGTGATAGTGTCTCTGTCCGTCATCAAGTCGACCGAGTGGTTTGTGCGATCCATGAATGATGATTGTGCGGAAAGCGCGCCCATTCTTGACTGAACATCGGGGTCTATGACTAGCTGCGCTTTTTGCGGTGACTGATCTGCTTCATCCATGGTTGATATGGCTGGGTGCCGATGAAACGGGGTTCATGCGTTTAGACAAAGCTACAAGAAGCCGCGCTAGGGCCTTGCAGGACTGCGCTGTGCAGTTGCAAGTGTAGTGAATGAGACTCGATGGAACTTAAACTCGAACGTCTAAGTGTGAAGAGCGCACATGAAGGAAGCGGTGGCCTCGAAATGAAGACAGCATGTGAGCGATGAGCGGTGAATGTCTCATAGCTAGAGACATATCTGGAGCGTATACACCCAATTCCGCTATCCGCATGTCGTGGCAGATGCGTCACAACATCTATTCCTGAGTTAACATACACAGAATTCCTGAATTGCTGGCAGATTATGACATATAAATTATGTTCGCTCGCTCATTCATACCCAGGTAGTGGCCGATAAATAAGTCTCAAAGTCTTTTCCTGCCAAGTGTTTTAACCGCTACGACTACACCTCACGACGCCAATATGTCAGACTCACCAAAAACTCCAGATGCACTCAAGAAAGAACCCCTTGATAATCCTCGATTAGAGATCCCTCGCCCTATGTTCCAACGCGAGACTACCGCCGTTGATCCCTCGGAATGGCAAGCTTACACACCGAACACTTCGCATGGGTTTATAGCCATGCATACCTCCACACCCGAAGAATCGCGTCAAAACAGGAATGATGGGAAGCCTACACCAGCCAAAGATTACTTCTCGGTGCCAAAGCAGAAGCACAATCCTATCCTTTCTCCTAACCCTGCGCCGTACGAACCGCATGGCTTCTTGCCACTTTGTTCCGTTGCGGCCGTTGAAGTCGACGCGACCGATTACTTCGGGCTCCCTGACAGATCTATCAAAAGTGATACCGGGAGTGCAAGCTGCGCTGCTCCGGGTCTGGCCAAGGATGCCGAGTGGGATGGTGCTCCGCAGTTCGATGGTCACGTGCACACGAGCAAGCACTCGCTGGGCGAGCCTGCACGTCGACCAGAAAGTCAGTATAGCGAGCGCGATGTCGCGCCTAAGCCAGAAGAAGAACAGGATATCGAAAAGGTGCCCGAGATACAATTGCGCGGTGGCAGTGACGAGGAACTTTGCGACGGAGACAAAGAGACGGTCGATCATCCACCTGCAGGCGACGTGCCCGACCCGAGACCCCATCAACGCACAGTCGAAGCTAATTCCGCGATCGCTTTATCGCCCACCGAAATAGCCCAGAAAGATTATACCGAAGAATGGAATCCTGTTCCGGCGCTCAATAGAGCGCTCGAACAGATGTTACAAGAAGTCGCAACCGTTTGTAACATGGCATTAGACATGCACGTGGCCAACAACGATCCTCCCAGCACAGAGCCCACGCTCGACAACACAGCGGGACGTGACGACGCCGAAACGACATCACAGCCGCCAGAAGATCGATCTGATGCTTCTGGGAGCGCTCATGAGGTATGACTACATGACAGTCCAGAATACGACGAGATCAAGCCAGTATCCACAGAGATGAGCGCTGCGAACATGGACGAGACCACTCTTCCAGAAACTGAGAAGCCATCTCCAGTGATCCGACGAAAGCTCAGAAAGAACTGGAAGAGGCTGGCGCCGCTCGAAGGTCACACCGGAAGACTCTTTGACACGATGCAGCATACAGACAACAGAACGCTAATCGCATTGAAGTCCGGTTTCACAGTCGACATCGTGAATGCCGACACCAAGAACCTATACGTCCGTAACGTTCCGCTTCGCATGCTATGGCATTTCTGTGGCGCCTCCGTCCTCGATCGCTTCATACCCGACCGTGACGGGCGCCCAGACCTGTTAAAGATACCTGTAGACGAAGCCGAGAAATCCGGAGTCGCAAGAGTAATGCGATACATGCGTCGCGCGTGCAAAGCAGCCAGCGTACGGCCCACAGGTGAGCTGCGCGTACCACCCAGTCTGGCCGCCGGTATCGAGACCATCCGCGCATGCCGTGTATTTGGTTTGCACGCTGATGCCGACAGGATCGAAGATGTGATGATCGACGAGTGGATAGGCAACGAAGCTTGGTATATGACCGACGAGCATGTCGAGCTGATCTGGGATGGGTATCACGGTAGTCTTCGCGACACCGTTTTCGGGGATGTGATAGTCTGGTTTGTATTAACAGAAGTGCAGGATAAGTCGCATCCTCTCGCGGAGGAGATACGGTGGATGCTGGAGCAAGACGAGTATGAGACGTTGAAGGCAAGGGTTACGGAGGAGGTGCAAAGGAGGATGTGGAGACTGGAGGATCATGACCAGTTCTTGGGAAGATGTAGTTGGGAGAGGGCGGAGCGGATGCGCAAGGAGGAGGAGCGTACTGATCCTCGTGCGCGAGGTTATCGTCAACAACCACTCCCGATGTCCGACGCTGAGCAGACCACTTTTCATCATGGAACCAGCGCGAAAGCTCTTGGTTTCGAGATCATGCAGGCGGGATCGTGGGATGGTGGGGGCATAGGGGTCCTTCCAGATATGCCCGTCCAATCTCCTGAGCTGCCGAGGGCTGGAGCTGACACCCCTGTTCCGCATTCGCTTGGTCGGTATTGATGTGAAAGTCTGGTATCATGATCGGGCCATAACTTCGGGACTCGCCGGTGGTTTTGCATTTTGTATTGACTGATGTTTTTGTTTTAGTTAGTGGCAATATGATCGTGTTAGCTCTTCAACGCCAGCAACTGGAACTGTGCGATCGTGAGAAGCTGCGGTCGAAGAGATGTCCTCTACATTTTGAGAGGCAGACTAATATGAGAAAGGGAAAAAAGTTGCTGCGCGCGTGGCAGCTCAGTCACCGTGGTCTCGAGAGGGCCGAGATGATGTTTGCGGCCGCGGAAAACGTTCTATGGGGGTATATTTGTTAACAGATGCTGACGCCTCGGAGCCTTTGCCAGGTCATGTAAAATCGTAGACAACTAACGCCTGACTGCCCTCGCTCTTCTCTCTCAGCACTATGACGTTCTGTTCGTCGAAGCCGACCCAACCACGACTGACGGAAGAGTCGTCAAAGCCTTGGTCAAGCGCAAACCGTAAGCCCACTTGCTGCCCCGAGTCGTCGTCCTGGGTGTACTCTTCACTGGCTTTGGATGGCTGTACGCGAACGCTTAATTGTCCGTTTCTTGAGCGCTTGCGGTTCGCGGAGGAGTTCATGCCGCCCTCTAGATCCCATACCCGTAGCTCGTCCCCTCGTCTGCTCACGGACACAGCCTTGCCGCGCATGCCGACATGGGCGCCGGATATCGAAGACGTGTGACCCCAGAGGCGGTTGCCAGAGCTGATGGACAATGCTTGTGATGTCGATCGGACGAGGTAGAGCGATAGTGTGTTATCGGGATGCGCGACGAGGAGATACGGATGGGAGTACGACATGGAGGTAGGTTTCGATCTGCTCGGCCCGCTCGGTGCTAGGGCTTCACCGGCGCGATCTGGTAAAGGTGACGACGAGCGTGCTGATGAAGAGGCCGCGCGGTACGTAGAGAGCGTAAATGAGTGTTCATCCGCCGCAGTAGCCAACCGTGACTCGATCAGGTCGCCTTTGTGTGAGAGTATGAGCTCCTGCACACCAACAGTCCAGCCGGATAAGTACGTCGGCAGGGAGTATGCGATCGCGGCGGTCATGGTATGTGCTGTTGTGCGCAGCGATAACGAGACAGGTGGCCATGCAGTATTCGATCGTAAGGAGTATAGCAGCTTCGGTGCCTCCAACAGCCCGAACGTGCCAGGTATCTCTTCAAAAGCGTATAATGAGAGGAGGTGGTCTTCGGTCATCGTGAGGAGATAAGGCGATGAGTATGCGAGAGCCGACAGCATTCCGTTTGTTGATGGCGGATGGGTGAAGACATTCGTGAACTTCTTGCGATTCGTCCTAAGTGCGTAAATGGAGAACGAGCCGTCTTCGAAGCCTATGACAACTCGCTCCGTGCCATCGTCCGTATTCGAGGCATCTATTGCCATGGATATCGGTAACCGAGCCATATCTGTTTCACCAGATAGTTCCGTGGATGCCAGTAGCTCCCTATCATTCTTCGAGTTCCACGCTCGCAGGCCTGACATGGAGTCCGCAGCATAGATGATGCTGTTAGACATCATGACGAGCAGCGGTGGGTCTGGAGGCCTTTCAGCGACCACAATCTCACTAACGGCGCATTGTCCCTGGGTCCAGTTATGCCGTAACCGGTATTGCTGCTTCCAGTTCGTTTGCGTTCCATCTTTGACTAAGTAGCCGTCTTCTAGCCATTTCGATAGCCGCGAGGAGTAGTGTAGCCGATTCGGGTTGGCAGGGCCTCTGATGCCTGGTATGCGCGACGCTCGAGGGAGGACGAAGGTGCGGTAGTAAGCGGCTTTCCATAATTCCGAATCGACCGAAAGGCGACTGAACTTCTTTGACACCCTGTAGCAGTTAGCGAATGTCGCGATTCAACGAAGATGACGTTACCTACCTTTGGCATACTAATAGCGAGGGTACGGGCACGAAAGACAGTATGCGCACAAGCAACTCCTCGCTCAACCGAGAGAGTTTGTCGGGATGTAAAAGCCGCTGTACTTTGGCTGGATGCTCGCCGTCATCATCGCCATCGTATGCGCGCTTCATAATACCTGGCTATGGCTGTCGTGTCGGCGGCGAATGCGCCTCGGGATGTCGGAATAGCACCATGTCTTATCGCTATCGCAGAGTGTCTGTGCGTACGCGTGACTGCGCGCTCCACTAGCGCGCATCTTTCGTCGTTGCCGCCTAATGCTGCAACCCACTCAGGACACACGCGAACATCAAGTCATCTCTTGTCACACCTGTCGTTTTCATGCCTTGTCGGACTGGTCCAATATGGCGGAGTTTTCAGCCTGGGTAGAGCAGAACAAGGGGCTCTGGACGCGCGTATACGATGAGGTCATCAAGCCTGACCTCGAGAAGGAATGGAGGACGAGTACGTATGGTCAATTAACGCGTCAATTTCTGCTAAGAATGAATCAGGGGAAGAGAAACATCAGAAGGAGCTAGATCAAAGTACG